TGTCCTGCTCCCTCCAGTGTCCACTCAAGTTAGAGCTGGGCCAGTCAACTGGGTTGATAGTTTCCACGCTTGTGAACTCTACACTTTGAAATACCTCACAACCACATACAATCAAACCTTAGATTTAAGGCTAACATTAAAGTCACATTTCTGCTAACCCAGAATTCCCAAATTGGCATTAAGATTATATCTGAGGGCTGGGGTTATGGCTCAGTGGTAGGAGCTTACCTCGCATGTGTGAGGCACTGGGTTTGATTCTCAGCACTGCAAATAAATGAATAAAGGTATTGTGTCCATCTATAACAACAAAAAGATCATACCTATGGGAAAGGGCCAGACCATTAATTTCCTGTCAATCTTGGGTAACCCTGGCTTATACTTGCGTGGATTCCTGGAGAGTACCTCCCACCATAGGGCAGGGGCCCATCTATAAGAATCCTGAAATATAGCACAAAGATATGTGTTTAGGCAAATGACTTTGTCCTCTTGCTCTTGAAATGAGAGAGAAAAAAAGAGAGCCTAAATGCAAATCTCCTTATGCTTGCAAATAACTTTACAATCCAATAAACTGAATTTCTGAAAAATATTTAGCTTGATATGACCAGAATTCTCTGTAAGTAAATGATCTAAACCTGGAGATTCTGTACTCTTAAAGGAGCTTAGACAAAGAGAAATGCCACAGATCTAAGTTCATGAACACCATTGTCTAGCCCTTGGTGAACAGGATCTGGCTCTAAGCCAGCTGCATTGAGCTTGGTCATGTGGTTTAAGCCTTTCACACGTGGGAGGACTCGCACTTTGTGCCCTTGGTGTGTGCATGTTGACGACCACACAGGTCTACCCACTGAGCTCTCTTCTGCAGTGTGCACGTTCCAGTCAACTGAAGGGCCATCTTAACCTCAAGTGCTGCTTTTTGGTCTCAGGGCATGGGGCACTTGGGTCTAGACTGTCATGGTGCTGCACACAGCTGTTCTACGTAACGTGGGCTGAACTAGTCAGGACTCCATGCCTGCCATATAGCCCAGCCAACTAGCGGCCTTGCAGAGAACCATGTCCTGCAAGTGTCCAATGCGGCCTACTGGGGAGAACCTTTGAAGGCCTCACCTTCCCAAACTCCAGTAACTCCACTGAGAAGCTTGCCTTTGCCAGCAGTAGGGCTTTGGGCTGCACAGGGCATCCACCAGACACGGACTCCATCCCTTCCTCCACGTGTTTGCAGGGGCCACAAGTGGAAGCGAGTGGAAGCAGCTGCTTGAGAACATGCCTCTGGGGGCCTCGGGCCTAGCCGCCTGACCACCTCAATCTGTAGCCCTCCCACACAGCTGCATAGCTAGTTCCAGAGAGGCAGGAAGTCACACCTAAGGCCGCTGGATGTGCAGATGTGGCTTTCCTCACTAGCTGAAGCCAAGTGTGAATCTGTGGCTCTGTGATTTGAAAGAGCTGGAGAGGAGCCCGTGGAGACCCTGCTGGTGCTGTTTCACAGCTATGCAGAAGCACCTTCATAGGTAAGAGCTTCTACTTTTAGTAGCCTCACCCACCATGACACATGATGGGGGAGGCGATGGACTCACAGGGGGAAGGTTTGTCCTGGCTCACAGTGTCAGGAGGGGCAGTCCATGACTGCTTGGCTCGTCATTGTCCGGCAGTGCTGAGGCAGTGCGTCATGGTGGGATGCACAGTGCAGCCACCCCTCTCACCCCAGGATGAGGAAGCAGAAGAGGAAGATGAAGAGGAGGGGATGGGACCCCATTATCCTCTTCATACCATCTTTCACACCAGTGACCCAAAGACCATCCACTAGAGCCTACATCCTGAAGGTCCCACCACCTCCCCAATGCCAGGTCCAAGCTGCAGCACCTCAGAAGAGATGCCACTGGACCAAGCCCAGTCACATGCCACCTGCCTGGCTTGAGGGAATGGGTATTATGAAGGCCACACCTAGACTGGGTGAGGATGCCTTTGCAGGGTGGGGCCCTCAGTCTGGCTGCTCCTCATCCCCCAGGAGCTAGGGAAGAAGCATGTCAGCAAGAGAAGAATCAACAGGCCTACAGGGGAAGGAGGAAGTAGAGTACACTTGTTGGGAAAACATATAACAGCAGCAGCACCTCAGAGAAAAACCCCAACATGGCGTCTAACGACCCTCTTTCTCCTCTTTGTTTCTTTCACTGGCGCGAAACGTTCCCACTGGCGCCAATGTTCAAATCCTGCTGGTGGGAAGCCTTAGCCCCAATAAGAATTAACTTCTTGGGCTCTGGAACTGACATATGGAAGAGCTTGCCAATAAACGGGCGACCTGATATCTACCTCAGCCCTGCTACCTCTCCTTAGACCTATATAAACCCACAGCCTTTTGTAATAAAGTGGAACCTCTTCAGTGATCTGTGTCGTGTGGTGTAGTGCAGTGCAGCGTCTTCCAGTCTTACAACACTCACCTGGAAAGAGATGTTCTCAGGCCAAGTGGCTTCCAGATGGCGTGGCAGGCAGAGCAGGATCAAAGCTTTGCAGTAGTGTAACCAGACAGAAGAGGAGGCAAGCGGACTCAGGGTCAGTGCGTCAGCGCTTTGCAGCAGCGGCGCCAGCCCACACCACCATGGTGATGCAGTTCCATCAGACAGCATCAGACACCACCGGACACTGGGGCTATGGATTTGTTGTGTTGGCTCCTTTTTATTTAACTAGTAAATATTTTAGTTTTTCTATCCTATACCAGGTTTTTGTTTTATATATTTTGCTAACATGGTAGCATTGAATTAGGCAACACTAGCCCCCACTATACTTCTTTTATGAGGGATTCATACTGAAAGGATAAAAAAAACTGAAGTTAAAGACCAGGCATTGTAAAGCTTCTAAGCTGCAAAGCCTGAGTTAAAATGTAAAAGACCAGGTATTGTTAAGTTCCTATGCTACACCCAAAACCTGAAATTCCTGTAGCTGTTAGGACAATTCCTGGGACTGCCCAGTAGATATTCCCCCTGACCATTCAGTTGTTAAATAACCTGGGCCCTGTGAAGTTTGGCACGTAGGCATTCAGGGCCCAAACCAATCAGTTTAAATGTGTACCCCGCTTTAGGACTAACCTATCACCCCCGCCCGACCTGTTCCCACCAATGAATGTACTAATCATGTTCGAGAGTTGTTGTTCGATTTTCCCGTGCCTCATGATGATTTGCTCTGATGTATGCAAAGCCCCCGCCCTCCCCAAAAAGTGTACTTAAGCACGGCTTAACCCCTACTCGGGGCTCTGGGCTGCTCTCCCTTCTTGAGTGAGCATGGAGCCCCAGCATGCTGGATCCTCAATAAACCCCCTTTTGCAGTTGCATGAGTCGGTCTCTTGGTGGTCTCTTCCTCCGTCGTTCGCCAGTCCCTTACAATACATCACTCAATTCTGAATTGCTAGCACCTCTCTTTCATTTGAGATCCACTCTTTTCTTCTTCAGGCAAACCACTAGAACTCCTTCCTTCTTGCTTCATGTGGTTTAGGGGTAGTCTCCAGACCAAGGCCTCCCAGAGTGGGTGGGGGTTCTTGGGAGGCCTGTGAGGATCCTCTGATGCCTTTCCTTACTGAGCATGCCCGCTGCGGGCAACAAAGACCACACTGACCCACTCTAGCCATGGGATATCTGGTGGCTGCAAGTGCCAGGGTGGAGAATAAGGTGTAGCTCCTGGTTTAGGGTGCCACAGACCCAAACACAGTGGTCAGTGTGTGGTCTAGTTGCTAAAAACCAGAGAGGAGCACTTTGGCTGGATCTGCAGCTCAACCAATCACCTATCTGGATCTCAACTTTTTGTCTCCCTTTGCTTTGACTCCCTGATACTGACTGTGGTAGGTGGGGAGTGGGCCACCCAGGCCCTCATTCCATGAGGGTCTTGACTCCCTGCTGCCAGCTTGCTTAGGATCTGCCTCTGATCCAGCAGTCCTGAGGTCTGTGGCCTTTCTGAATGCCAACAGGAACCTGGGGTGGATAGATAAAAGCTAATATGCTTATTAGGCACCACAACTGAAGAGCTGCCCCCAGTAGCTCAGCCAGAAGGTGCACAGACAGCTTTACCTGGCAATTTGGAAATTCTGCTAAATAGATTTTATGCAAGCTCACACATTTAAAAACACAATAATAAACCTGTTTGTAATACTTCTGAATTTTGAAAACAATAAGGCAATTTGTTGGGTGTTTAAATCTTTTCCTTGCTTGGTCATTCACTGAATTAGCATTTGAAAGCAACCACTGAGTTGTGCCCTGTCCTTGAACTGGGCCTTTCCAACTGCAGCTGCATCAGTCACTGTCCTTTTCATCACCCCACTTTCTCAGACTGTTGACTCTTTCCCAGCCTTGGGGTGGTTGACTTCACACCATCTCTGTGGAGCAGGAGGATCTGAGTGTTGCTATGCCAGCGTGGGCTCCTGGACACCAGATCCCCAGGTCAGGACTGGCCCAGAGAGAACCTTCACCCTGGACTCCTAAGTCCCACTCTGCCACACAATTTCCTTTGGGGAATTGTCTGTCCTTGGCTGCTATGATAAAATACTGACCTGCAGTTTTACTTGGGGTGGGTGGGAGCTCTATAAGGAAATTAAAATACTATCTGGTCATTCCAGACAGGAAACTTGTTGCTTTCACCTGAAGCTTCCTGCAAGAGGACAGACTCCACCCTCTAAGGACTGTAATCTATAGCCCTTGGAAAATAACATTCCAGGGGAAGAGGTTGGGGGAAGCAGCAGACATTTGTGCAATTGTAATTCTTTTTCCCTAGAGTGTGGAAAAACTGGATGGAATTATATTTGGCTTTTTAAAAAGATCATGATATTAGAAATGTTGTTATTATGCTAGTACTTCCATGAAATTATGAAACCTGACCTCATTTCAACTAGAAAAACGCCAAACTAAATACACAACATTTGTTGCACAGATCAGAAATCCAGTTTCTGACTATCAGAAGATGGTGCAAAAGAACCAGGAACATAGAAAAAATGACTCAGTTCTAAGTGGTAAAGTTCCTTGTGGGTGTCTGCAATTCTCTAGTTTTGCAAATAATGTTCATTTTTCATATTTAAATTTCCCAGAGTGGCTTTTCAGTATACTGAATACTTGTTTTTCTGCAAGTTCCAGGGAGTGCCAATTCAATGATTTTTGCACTGATTGTCATTTAAATATGAAAACCCAATAGCTGTTTAGTGGGAAGTCTCTGGGATTCTTGGGTCCTTGGATCCATGGTAAATTTCTACAAGGTACTTAGGATTTCAGAGACACAGCCATGTAGAACAGACCACACATCACCACTCTTATTCAATCAAGTACCCAGAACTGTACTCATTAGTTGAATTAATAAAATTAAAAAAGATAAAAATTCCAAATGATCTCAACTCTTCCTGCTTAGTACAAATTCATTAAGTTAGTGATTTGTAGGTAATGAGGTTTTAGAAGTCAATCAGATATCATCTGGAATCAAATATCATTACAAGTCTAAATTACAATTCAAAGATATAGCCCATGTTTTCATAAGGACACAAATGCTATTGGAAACAAAACATCCAAAAATAGGCCATCCGGTTTTCTTCAGGGAAAATCAGAAATCAAAAGAACAAAGCAAAAACATTCAAGACCAGTGTAATTTCAGAGTGAGGCTGGGGACATTTCTTCCAATGCTTCTAGAAAAAGAAATACTAGTTTCTCCTTGTGGAAGAAGGAGGCATTTTAAAATATTTTATTAAAGTATATTTTAATTGCTATTTGAGAGGAATAATAGTCATTCACATAAACACCTCAAAATTAGTTATGAGTTAGCTAAAAAAATCTTAAGCAGCTGGTAGAACAAATAAGTTATGAAAGCAGTTAAAAAGATACAGAAAGAACAGAGAGGCAAACCAGAGGTGCCCAGTGGGTAGAGGGCTCACGCTTCTGTTGTAGGGTGAGGATCTCCTATGGCCCCCTGTCCAGGCACAGTCACAGTGAGGTTCATGCTTCTCTTGTGAATTTGGGGTACAGTCCATGGCCTGACAGCACCACATCACCATCTGCTGTCCTTGTCTGCTGCACCCTTTTGCAGTCCCTGTGAGTTTCCCCACACCCTCTTTATCCCTGTTATTTCCTGGCATTTTGATAGGAACCCTTCTAATGTGTGGGAGGTGATATGGTGTCCCTTCTTGGGGGTCCTGGGAAGAGAGTCCAGCACCTCTGTGTGTTTTGGTTGTCTGTTTATGGCTAGCAGCACTGCCCCAGGATGCCAGGCTATGCAGATGGGGGGACAGAGCAAAAGACATTTCATTGAGCCAGGAACTGAAGGAGTGAATGTGGAGTCTATTTTTAGCTGGGATGGATCACAGCTCCCTTGAAAGGCTGAAGCTACTGAGAATAATCATTTAAAAGAAGCAAAGCTTCCAAACTCCTGGTGTCCTGAACAGTCTCAGCTGGGGCTGCAGCAGGGGTCCCTTGCCTCTTATGGGCACTGAACAGTCTTCAGAGAACATTCTCATCCAGTGCCAACACAAAAAGGAAGCCCACAGGGAAGTTCTACATGTCATAAATTGGCACAGGGAGAAGAACGCTTAATCCTGTTGACTTTAATCTTACCACCTAGGCCTCAGGTTCAGTCCACCATAACTGTGAAATGCAAGGCCAACTGAGTGCAGTAGGGCTTCTTTGAGAAGGCCCACATGCTCTAGGAAGTTCTCCTGGGTTTGAAGCACAATTCCATACAAAGAACACGGAAAACTGACAGGCACCATGGTTTTCTTTCAAGTTTTCGCTCAGGATATTTTCCAACTTTTGTGCTTTATACAAGCAAGTTTTATAAGAGGTTCTATTCTTCATTTATTAGTTCGTTAAATACAAATACTATATATAGAAACAAGGCACTGTGTTAATTGCTCTAGACATGCAAGAATAAATTAACACTATCAAGGAACTTAGAACTAAGGGCAATAAGTCACGTGCAAGAGTAACACAAGACAGAAAAACCATCTGTAAAGGAGATTAAATACAATGGGAAAAGAAAAATCACTACCAGGAAAGAACTTCAAAAAGGACACAACATTTGAGTCAGAACTTAAATAGAGAAGGTCTGAGTTCTGTAGAGAAGCAGAGGGAAGGCAAGCTGGGAGGAGGGATGTCAACCATAACAGCAGCACCAGCAGGGAACCTCAGCATGTGAACAGGGAACAGCATGAGGGAGAAATGAAGGGGGCGGGCAGGGGGGATCTGGTTTCAAGGTTCCCTGATTACTGGGGAGGAATGTATTTCATGCTATTGTTACTTTTAAATGTAAGTTGTGGTCATCACCCTAAAATAGTTGGTGGAGAGTTTGGGAAGTAAATCAAAAGGCAATATGGGCGTGTAAAAGCAGAAGGGGAGGGAGTTTCAACTTGCTGTTAAAACATGTTCAGAACCACCTCTCTTCCTCTAGAGCCTGGCACTGAGAAATGAGGCAAGGGCAGAAGGAATTCCAGGTATGCTTGGCCTTTAGGTCTATAAATAGGTCTATAAATGCTATTTATAGATGGCCTACTTACAGATACCCTTTATTATAAATGGCTACCTGGGACAGCTATCACAACTGGATTCTGGGTAGCCCAGATCTCCCAGCTCCAGCAGGGAAAAGGCGTTTCCCTTGGCAACCTTATCACACACCACACTCAGCTGCTTAGCGATATAGCTCTGATAGAGTCCCACAGTCCAACATGCTGTGCGTTCCGTCTTTCATGGCTGATCTGACACCTGTGAAAGGAAAGGCAATAACATTTTATGAAAAGATTCAGACACATACACACAAGTACAGAAAAGAATACCATAAGTCCCCATCTGCCCTCACAGAGATCCAGGAATTATTAAGCCCTGTCCATGTCTGCTCTCCCTGTGTTTCCAGCTCCAGGCCTGGCCCCTTCCTTCCTCCTACCTCAGTTTGCATCTCCTAGGTGCAAGCATGTTTTCTTAAATAACCTTCAGGATGCTGGCACACTTAACCTTTAACAACACTGTTGTTGGTTTCGTTAGCTTCATTATGATTACACCAGAGACCTCATGGGGTGCCATGAAGAGTAAATGAAGAGAACATGTAAAGAACCTAATTTGGTGGCAAGCACTTACAATACGACTGCAAAACTGGCAGTTGTTTAGAGTGGACTCCAAGCCCCAGCCTGTGGTCTGACTCTCCTGAAGGTCCAAGTTGCTTGATGAGCTTATCAAACTTTTGGTTTATTTCCCATGTTTCAAAAGATAGGTATCTTGCTAATTATGAAAAAAAAATCAAAATAGTTATCTCTTTGGAGGATAGATAATAGTAATTTAAAACAAATCTAACTTATACCTAATTCCATCAAGAGGAGGAACTATTTATATTAGTCTACAGTCTAGTCAGAATACCAACCAGTATTTATTTCCTCCGGAAGAGAAGATTTTTTAATTGAATGGTATCTTTCAGCCTCCCCATAACTGAAGGAAGGAGGTACCCCCTCCAAGGCACCCACAGCTGGTCTCCCCTGCAGCAGAAAAAAGGCTAAGGCAGCTTGGCAGGCAGGCTCAGACCTTTAAGGGCCACTTCTGATAAACCTTCTCCCAGGGGCTTTCTGCAACCTTTGGAGTCCTTGGTGGCAGGTTGTTACTTCTGCTGCTCCACTGACATCTCTCCGTATGGGGCATGTTGATGGTGGTGCTTTGTAGCTAATAACCACCACTTCATTCTTCCACTTCACCCTGAAGGTGTGAAAGGAGCTATAATTACATAAATGTATAAATCTTTCTGATATTTGTTGGCATGATTGCAATACCATTCTGTTTGTCAAATAGTAAGTTAGTCATTGACAATGCATCAGGAAGTAGTGTGGTCATGCTCAAACTACAGAACAGGGCTCCCTTGGTAAGAGTGACCTTAGATGGAGTAAACAGACACCTCTGGAAGGGGATCCAACAATCTGCACTTTCAGCATACCCATTACAGTTTGAGAATCTATAAGACCATCTGGGAGGATACCCCTGGAGTCCGTGAACTTGTGCTGGAGTTACAGTTATGAACAGTGACTAAGCTGGTATTTTAACCCACCATCTGCACCTCTTGCCAAGGACAGCCTTTGCTCTCACAACCACTCGTCTCATTGGGCTTATCAATGAACCCATGCTCACCAACCCCTTAAGATGCTGCATGATTTCACTTTCCCCTTCCTTTCTGGCAGGCTGATTTATCAGAATGTAGTTGAAGCCACTCTTTCCCTCCAGTCAGTAGTGGAATCTTTGTCTACTCTTTGCCCCCATCCCCATCCTGCCTTCTTGCCCACTCTGCAGCCTTTCCTTGACCTTCTTTAGGGAATGAATTTCCAATATAAATTTCTAGCAGGTTCAAAGTAAAATTGAAACTGTACTGCTGAGCCTGGGTTCTGCTACAGAATTCAACACCTATTTCTTACCTATATTGAAAATAGTAATGACTCTGGTTCTAACTCTGCCAGAGTTATGGGGCATTAAAGTAGTTTAATGACAATATATGGGAAAACTATTACTTCCTCCTTGCCATAAATTGAGATAAACAGTAAGAAGAGACTAGAAATGAAAAAGATCTCTGTTCAAACACCAGACATGTGAAAAAACTAGCCTCTACTTCAGAACAAAGCCTGTCCAAGGAAGGGGGCATGACCCTTGTCCTTGGAAAGACCCACAGAGCACTGCTAGGCACATCCCATCCTGCTGAGTTGTTTATCTACAAATAACAGGAGAGATCTGCTGCACCAGGTGTCCCTAAGTCAGGCTAGGTGGGGACCCATAGCAATCCTCCAGCAGACACCAATCAGCATGAGACAGGGAAAATACCAGGGATGCCAGATGACCCTCCCAGTAGTTTATGGTGGTTGATAGTGTTGGGAAACCATGTAGTTCAGCACGTACTCCCCTCTATGATTTTCCCATGGTGTGTGATGATTTGCTAAGAGATGCTATGATGTATGTGAAGTCCCTGCCTTCCCCAGAGTGTATAAAACTGCTGCAAACCCTGGGCTCGGGGCCTCTCAGTGTCACCAGCTGCTGTGTGCACATAGAGGACCCAGCTAGCTCGCAATAAACACCTCTTTGCTGCTCTTGGTCTCTGGTGGTCTTTTGGGGGGTCCCGAATTCAAGGATAACACATGTTAACTGAGGACACAGTTTTCTCATCTTTACCAACAACAGAATATAAGGTGACGTTATTATGGTTCTAGTTTTCACCGTGTTTAAGGTGTGTGAGGGTCCAGTGCAGGCAGGAAAGAAGGGGCTATTTGCTTAGATTCCAGAAGCCTCTAATCTAGTCTTGGACAGGGGCTGTCTTTCTGTGTAGGCTTTTATCTGAGGTCCTGAATGATAACCATAGGTGTCAGCTTCTCCTCACTGAAATCTTCACTCCAGGAATGTTACCGCCTGGAACCTTGAAGTGCAGGCCCCTGGGAATCCATGGAGAAGGACTAGCAGAGCTGATGCAGGAGGCCCAACCTCCTGAGTCTGTCTCTCCCGAATTCCCAGCTTGTCACAAAGCAAGCACCTACCAGGGGTTTTAAATTGTGGTGAGGGATTTGAGTTGGCTGTTTCAGGTTCTGGTTTTAAATTTGCAGACTGCTTTCATCTTTTTTGAATTCCCTCTTGGAGTTGTCACATCCTTCTACGTGGGGTTGGAAGCACCAGTGCCAGGAGAACAGGCCGCCCACTTCCCCACGAGGCTGCCCTGGGCACTCCTGCAGGCTGAACAGACCAGGCCAGGCCCGGTTCAAGATGGACACAGACTGTCTCCGCCATGGACTGAATAGAATACTTCATAAACTGCAGTTCCGGGTGAACTTGCTCATACAGTGAAGTCCCAGCTGGGGGTTGCCATGCTCCGGAACAGAGAGTGCACTCCCCCAGGGGGCTGGGCGGCCCGTCCTCGGCCCCAGGCAGGAGGGCGTCCCGCCTCCACCGCGGTCGGCCCGGAGGCGCGGGTCACTTCTCGGCAGGCCGGACTCCGGCGTCCCACGGCCTCGGGGTTGCAGCTGGAGAGTGCGGGCTGCGCGAGCCGAGGGCCGGCTCACCCAGCGTCCGGCCCAAGCCCACGTTTCAGGGTCCCTGACTATATAAGCCGGCCCCGCCCGGCGCGCAGCGCTCCCCGCCTCCCGCCCAGGCCCGCACGGTGGACGCCCGGTCTCGCGAGACTTCCGCCGGCCTTCCCGCCGGCTTTCCTGCTTCTCGCGAGAGCGCGCGCCCGCGGCTTCCGGCGGGGGTCGGAGACACAGCGGGCAACGGCGATGGCGGCCGAGCGGCTCTTCTCGCTGGAGCTGCTGGTGGACTGGGTGCGCTTGGAGGCCGTGCCGCCGCCTCACCCCGCCGTGGCATTCCGCCTGCTGGACTTCCCGCCGCTGCTGGTGCGCGCACCGACCACGCCCGCCCCGGCGCCCTGCGGCGCGCTGGGCTTCGGGCGCGGCAAGGCCTGCGTGTTCCGCCTGCGCCCTGCCGCCCTGCGCCGCCAGCTGCTGCGCGCCGCGCTGCTGCAGCTGCCCGCCGCTCCCGGCCCGCCCGCGCCGCGGATGCTGGGCGCCTGCGACGTCCCGCTGCCCGCCGCCCGCGGGCCGGGCAGCCGCGGCACCTTCGTCCTGCTGGACCCCGAGGGCGAGCGCGTCGGGGACCTGGCGCTCTTCTGCCGCCTGACGGAGTTGGGCGACCGCGCCCGGGACCCCGCCCCGGACCCCGTACCCCAGAATCCCGCCCCTGCCGACCTGGACCCCGACCTCGGCGCCCTGGACCCAGGACCCCAGGATCCCGCCCCCCAGGACCCCGACCTCGGCGCCCCGGACCCAGACCCCCAGGATCCCGCCGACCTGGACCCCGATCTAGGCGCCCCGGACCCCATGGCCCGCCCATCCCGCACGGGCTCCGCGGAGATTAGCAGGCCTGGCCCTGTGGAGGCTTCGGGCAGCAGTGCCAGCGCCTCCAGCGAGGAAGACCCCGAGCTGGACCTGGAAACCAACACCTTTTGCCCTCCTCCTCTGTATTACACTCACTTGACCCAAGAAAGGGCGGTTCCTGCCTGCGTCAAAATCACCATTGAGCCCCAAAGGGACGTACCTGAGGAGCTGGGTGATGCCTTGCCGCAAAAAGTACTTGTAAACCCTCCAACACATCTGAGTCCTCCTGAAGGTACAGATTCTGCAACATGGGAGACTCTTCCTGTGCTTATGAGTCCACCAGGGAGTCAGGATGTAGGAACAATTAATCAAACTACATGTCACCCTCAAACTGAACAAAATACAATTAATACAATAAGGCAGCTTCCTCTGCTAAATGCTTTGTTAATTGAGTTGTCCTTGTTATACAACCAACCCGTGGCAAGCCCAACTCATGTACATCCCCACTTAGCCTGGTTGTATAAAACCGAGGATGAGAAGGTACCAGAATCTGGCACCAAATCCACATGTCAGTCTGAATCTAAGAAGGATAAGCTTTCAGTGGGGGGCCACAAAAAGTCAGCCAGCCTTCAGTGTAAAAAGAACCAAGTTGAAAACCTTAAGAAAGGTAAATGTTTAGAGAACAATGGCAACTGCCAAAAAAGAGTTACAAGGGGGAAACTACTTTATGGCTTAACAAATACACTCAGATTACGTTTAAAGCAAACAAATCCTGACATGTTGGTAATACATGAAAAGAGAGAGGAGTATAGAAAAATGCAAGCACAAATGTTGGGTACAAGTACAAAATTCAGAATTCCATCCTCTAAAGTATTAAGCTTTGCAGAACAAAGTCAGAAGCCACATCAGCTGCCTAGAGACAAGTATTTAGATTCAGATGCATCTTCTGAAAGTAGTGATGCCTCAAGGCAAATTAGTGAAGTCTTTGATGAAACCAGCACAACTAAAGAAACTAAACTAAAATGTGCAACTGGAAAAAAGACAGTTGATTGTGGGGAAAACAGAACCAGCACATTGGGAAGAATCGCTAGTCCTGCAGATTTTATTATTCCAGAAAGATTGACTCATACAAGTATTTTGGGAGGAAAACTGGAAACCAGAGTCCAAAGTCCATGTGTTTTCCAACAACATGCTATGGCTGGCAGAATTGTAGATAAAGAAATAGATGATTGGCAGGTCAGAAACACAGATAATGGCATTCCTGCTGAAATGAGTGAAAATAGTTCCCATGAAAGCATCTCGGAGCTGAAGTATTCAGATGACTTCACCAGCCCTTGCTATTCAGAAGACTTCTACACCACTGAGGAGACCAGCAGGAGCTTGCAGACTCATGCTAGCAGTCCACAGGCAGAAATTTCACCTAGGAGGAAGTCTAATGGACCAACACCACCCCTAGGGAAAAGTAGCAGTGAGAAGAGTTCTATTCTTAGCCCACCTTTTTCAGCTGGATCACCAATACTCTCACAAAAAAGATGTCATCTTTCAAAGACTCATGATAAAAGTGTGGAGAAAGCATCTAGTAATTCCACCAGTAATTTATCTTCATCCCACTGGACTAAGGAAAAAGAAAGCCAGATAGATCAAAACAGTAGGCATAACACTAAGGATAAAAAAAGATGTCAAGACTTCTCTATGAAACTTAAAGCAGAAACTGATTGCAAATGGTCAGAAAAAAGCCAGTCACCACGGACATCTCAAGTGAGTTCTTACCTGCCCTCTAATTTGTCAGAACTAGAACTCAATGTTCTGGATGGCAGTACTTCAGATCATTTTGAAGATGATGATGACATTGGTTCACTAAGAATTTCAAAGCAATATAAAGATATCTGTGAGTTAGTAATAAACAAACTTCCAGGATATACGGTGTAAAAATGTGCTTTAAAAAATTTTTTTTATGTGTACTGTTAAAAATTTTAATACCTTCACATTATTTTAGTGCATAAATTATGTGAATATTTCTTTTCAAGAAAAGTAAATGTCATTCCTTTGATGCTTAACTAATATTTACCTTAATCTGATAATATTGATCATGAGATCACCTCGTAACTTAGGTAAGATTTCTTTATAAGTTATTTAAAAATAAGAGTATATCTTTCTCAACTTTTGAAGTATCCTAAAATATGGAACATTCAAAGCTGACTTCATTGAAAAAAAAGGTTAGTTAATAAGAATAGCTGCAGATTTTTATGGGAATAAGTTATTTAAAAAACAAGATATGATTCCTGCTCTTGCAGGAGTTTATAGCACATGTACATATATTTGTGTGTGGGTATGCTTGCATATAAGTTGTTCTATACCTTTATTTAACCACAATCTGTATGACTACTTGATTAATGTTTGTCTTTCACTAGGCTAAAGTGCTCTGATGAGAAGGACCCTGTCTGTTTTTAGCACCCAGCACAGTCCCTGGATGTAAATGGGATGCAATAAAAACATTTGTTAAACAAAATAAATGATTGCCTGGCATGTAAAATACCTAATGCAAGGTTAGACTTAAATAGTAATATCAAACAGAAACCCTGAAAAGAAACTTGTGAAACCCTTATCAAGACATGTTTGACTAATATTTTTGTTTTGCTGCATGTAAACAGCCTTCAGATGTTCTCTGAAGCATCTGGAGAGGGAAGTTAAAAAAAATGTGTCTTCCTGTGTGGTTTCTTGAATAGGAGTTCAATTTATTGCTTGTCACTTCAGGTTCAGTGATTATTTTTAATGTGTGAAAGCTTGTTTTCAAGTCTAGTGATAATTTATAATCCATTGATTTTATACTTTGGCTTTATTCTGTGTTCAGATATTTGCATATATTTTCTTCTGAGTTACACTTTAATTTTTTGGTTTTGGACATGTGAAGTTCCTAATTTTCCTTTATTTACAAATAATTAATTATGTGGTATTATATCCTGAATGATGGTAATAGTAGATGAGACTTAGATAGAAGGTAAGAAGAGAAGAGGATGTTCTATGTGGGGGACCAGCACAAATAGAAGAATGATGGACATGAGCATGAAATTCATGGGAGATGGAGAATCTTACCTTGATTGGAATAATAGTTTCTGCTAAGAGTGATAATTGAGTAATCCTTTTTACTTTGCATGCTTACGGTTCCCAGCACCAGAGTAAACTCCCAAAGGCAGGAATTGGGCTTTTAGTTATTTTGAGTCTTCTTTCATCTGTAGTAATAGCCATGGCTAATCATCAGGTAGAATTATTGGTGGCTTGTTGAGATTTCTAGACTCTTTATCCCCAGTCATCCAGTCTTATAGGTGAGTTTCAGATCCTTGTTTGTTCTATTGGATTAAAATACATGGAGAGTTGTGCAGAATGACAATATGTGAGCCAAGATTTGCAGAATCTTCTCATTTTTAATGTAAATACAAAGAAAACTGACTTGATCAAGACCAAGGTATTCTTCCTGACTTTCTCTAGGAGTCTTGTCATGCCAAGCAGAAACTGACTTTAGGATGGTTATCAGGAGGTTGGAGTGCTGACTCTTCATGCATTTTCTTGTCTTCCAAACAGTTCCTAGATTTATTACACTAAAAAAAAAAAAATCATTTAGAAAAGGTTAGAAAATTTGGATAAGAGCTTTTGTTTCAAAATGTGTACTAAGGAAAGGTTATGGTCCTTTCCTTCCAAAATTCCACTAAAAAGAAACTGTAAAAATAACAACCCAAAGTTCACAGAAAATACCAGCAATGGACTAGACAATTTGAGGAATTTTTTGGAAGATCAAAGCAGATGGGACTAAGTTGATGAAAAATTGGGTTAGAAATCCACACTTCAGCATAGACATGAGGGTGGAGCTCATGGGAACAAAAGAATCAGCAGGAAGAAGTCTGGAGAAAGTCACACAGCAGAGCCACTGAGCTGGCAGCAGAAGGAGGCTTTCCAGTTACTAAGCTAAGTCGGGCATGGCATTGTGCAGGTGTCAGTCCAGTGGGGACTCAGGAAGAAAAGGAGCTCCCAGCCAGGGCATGCATGAAGACCGAGTTTTCTAAAATAGAAGAAGGCAGTGTACTTGTGTAGGGAAGCACAGAACATTGTCCTGCACACCTAAGTAAGGGCCTCCCATAGGCTCTTCGTTTGTGTGCATTTCATGTCTTTGCCTGGTATTACACAAAAACATTTCCTTTAAGTGCTTCTGGGATGCTGGTGGGACCAGGGAGGAGCTGTCCTAATCCATCACAATAAAGCAGTGAGA